TGGTATACAAATTTTTGAAGCCTGCCTAGCTGTGATCCAACCCACTAATTTTGACCCTTTATATTTTAGTTTAAAATTACTGGTTTAAAAGCCTTTCCCCCCTGTAAACTGCTCTTGAATCAGATCTCTCCCTTGGTATACTGCAACACTAATTTGCTTTTTACCCAAGTGGACATGTTTTCCTTAATCTCCCCTAAATTTCATATAATTGATTTTGCCCACCAATTAAGCTGTCTACCACATTAAGGTATTTTAGAACTTTGGTTCTATTATCCAATGCAGGAATTTTCTTCTCTATTTTAATGCCAACCATTAAGTTAAAAATCCATGATGCCTTCAATCTCATTGTTAATTAACTTGTCAAGCAGAGTGGGATTAATGAGAGCCTCACAGCACTCCACTAGAGATATCCTTCAAGACTGGCAACTGCCCTCATATCCATACTTTGGGTACCATTGTACAATCAGCTGTGAGTTTGCCTTATTATGCTCTTATCTAGCTTACTTTTCTAACCAATTTGTCATATGGTATTTTGGGAGATTTATCAGATGCATTGCTAAAATCTGACACTAAAATGGATTTAGTGTCTAAATCTAAATTTTATTGCTCTAATAACCATTTTATGAATGGAAGTACAGTTACTTTTATTGCACTTCCTACTGAATCCATGAAACATTTCAGTGATCACTTCTATTTTTTAAATGCTAATGCTTCATGTTTTTAATTACCCATTGCATAAACAAATTGTGAGAGATCCACCAGTGGAATATTTACCAGCAATACAAGAAATAATCTTTTGATAAATACAGCATGGATGAATCTCAAAATAATTTGCTAAATGAGAGAAATCAGTCCCAAAGCTCTACAAACTTTATGATTCAGTTTATATGACATTCAACAGGAGAGTAAAACTATAGGGACAAAAACTAGAGCATTGAGTGCCAGGAACTGAGGGTGGAAAATTTGAAATAAGCCAAGCACACAGTGACAAATATCATATGATCTCACTTATATATGACCAATATCTCTTCATTTCCCCCACCTAGCCCTGTCGACCACTCTAATCTTCTGTGGTTCAACTTTTTAGATTAAACATGTAAGTGATGAACTTCCATGTTGTTTTCTTAATGGCTGTACCAATGTATGTTCTCGCCAACAGGGTACTGTGGTACCATTTCTCTACAGCCTCACTAGCACTTTTTATCTCTTGTCTTTTTTAAAATAGCCACCCTAATGTGTGTGAGGTGATATCTCATTATGACTTGAGTTTGCATATCCCTGATGATTAGTGGTATTGAAAATATTTTCATGTACCTATTTGTCATTTTAATGTCATCTTTGAGAAAACATCTATTCGTATCCTTTGCCCATTTTATAATCAGATTATTTGCTTTTTGCTATTGAAGTGTGTATGATTTCCTTATATATTTTTGATACTAATCCCACATTAAAAATATTCGGTTTGCTCATATGTTTTCTCTTTTTGTGAGTTGCCTTCTCATCCTGTTCTTTCCTTTGCTATGTCTAGCTTTTTAGTTTGATGTAGTTCCACTTGCTTATTTTTGCTTTTGTTCCCCGTGTCATATGCAAAAAAATCATCACAGATAACCTTAGTTTGTTCTCTGTCTAGTACTAAAAATCAACCCTTCCATATCTACTTTGCTTTTTTTTTTTTTGTATATTCTATATTAATCTCTTCTCTTATTTAGCATGTCACTGTGAATGAGATGTACATATTTTTCCTGAAATGATTGGAACTAACAATAGTGAAGTTATCAGTAATCCTTTTTAATTATCTTGTGATAGCAGACTTTTTTGTTAGATATTCTGAAACAATAGTAGATCACTTAATTAATTGGATCCATAAATTTCACTGAAACCTGCTAGAAAAGAGACTGTGTCTTATAGTTAGTATCATGCCATACATGCTTTTTGATGTACAAGTAATGTTAAATTAAGGTAGTAAAGGATACTTACATAACACTTTTCATGTTTAAAAATACTTTCCTGTGTTGAGTATTGCACAATTTTAAACTTCTCTGTGAAATTAAGTGTTTTTTCAATTTCCTTCACCTTCTGTCCATGTCTTGGTTTTGAAGTAAGAACTGTAAGTAGTAACACAGTTAAATTGAAGCTTAGAGTTAGAAAGGACCTTGTATTTGCTCTAGTCATGCCACTGTCATCTTACAAGGTTAAATAATGTCCCTGAAATGATGAAGTACCTCAGGTCAGCATAAGTGTGTGAGAATTTTGTAAAACCAGTTCTCAATCCAGATAAAAGACCACAGTGCAATCTGATAATGATCAATTACAGATTTTGGAATCAAGAAAGTATGTCAGCTGAGAATTGATATCCTTCATTATAACAACAACTCTTTTCACAGAATGACAATTAAAGCAGTTTGTACTTGAGGCTCTAAAATCCTGCTCTTATACAAGAAAGTAAGGAGAATCACCATATTCTGGTCTTATAAGTCAGCCCACAGAACAAAATTGTCAGAGAACTTAAGCTTAAATTGCTAATAGAAATGCCATTTATCAAAGAAAAAGAATAAATGTAAATTCAGCCTGAGAGGAAACTAAATGCAAAGTCAATTCCTAAGACACATTATTTAGTTTCATCCTCTGGGCCTCATTTCTTCATCTGTAAAATGTAATAATAATACCTACTTCATTTTGTTGTTTTGTTTTATTTTTTAGTACTGAAAGTTGAACTCAGAGTCTTGTGCATACTAAACAAGTACTCTACCACTGAGCCACATCTCCAGCCCAATAATACCTATTACTTGGTGTTGTAGTTAGTTTTATATGAGGTGATACAGATAAATAATTTAAGCCTGGAGTATTTTTGTTCATAATTCAAATAGTGGCTACAAACTTTAGTAATTATCCGAGTGAAACTAAATACTGTAGACTCAAATGCTGATAAAGAGGTCAGTCACAACCAAGAGAATATGCCATTATGATGGAAAATAAAATTCATGTAATGCTCCAAGGAACCCTAAATATGAATAAAACTTGAGAAAAGAACAGTTTGTGTCCATGGCCAAGAAGCTACACATTAAGGGAAGGTGTTACTCAGCACATTCAGTAGGTGCCACCATAACCACTTCTTCTGCTACTCCAAAGAGTTCATTTGTTTTCCAGGATCCCTGAGAGATCCCAAATCATATCAATTCCCCTCTAGTTGTCTCATTATAGAAATGGGGCTGAAATCAGTTTTCCCTTTCAACAATGTAAGACAATGCAGCAAAGATATGCATATATTCAAACCATGGTGTCTCATACTACAACATTGGTGCAAATAATTGCCCGAACCATGAATAGTCTTGTTTTCTACATGGTGGAAGACTGAATTGTTTTGTGCTTTTTAATGTATGTTAATTATGATTGAGGCATAAGACAAACTTTGTAAAATATCCAAAGAAAAGATGATGGGACCATGAAGGACATGCAGAAAATTTTACCCTTAACCCTGTAAATGTCACAATGAAGAATATCTGTATTTAATTAAGCATTTAGTGTAGGTATAGCATCACCTGAGCTCTCTGTGTGAATTAATATACACAACACTCTCATATGGTAGATCCTACTATTGCTTCCTGTGAGGTATTTTGTAGGCTGCCTTAGATTCCAAAACTCTCGTTTACGTTGCTTTAAGTATCATTTAAAAATCTCAGTATTGTGCTTGCCAAGCATGTGTAAGGATCTGGGTTTGATCCCCAGCACCACAGAATAAATAAATAAATAAATAAATAAATAAATAAATAAATAAAATCTCATTATATGCTGTTAAAAATTATGTATCTTAAGAGAAGTAACAAATATTTTAGCATATTATGAAGAATCAATAGCATTTAATTTTAAAACTGCTAGTGTCATAGTCATTTGTCAAAATAACAACCTAAGATGTATAAACAGTTAATAGTTTCATTTATTAAGTATATTTTATCTGTATATATACACACAATGTTACATGTAGTACAATATAAGATGAGACAAGTATGGTTTTGTGTATTATTAAAAGTTATGGGAAGCAAACCAAGAGTGTTACTTCAGAACAACTGACACAAATGAAAAAAAAATGTGTATAGTTTCTAGTCACAGAAAAGAGAATCTACAGCAAGTATTTATTCAACAAGAAACATCGTTATAGCTGGAATGGCTATCTATGCTGAGGTTACCACAACTCTCTCCACACTTGCATACTAGTTATGATTATTAGTTAATTAGTTTGCTTACAAGACCCAAACAGAGAGGAGCTTACATGAGATGGAATTTTAATTATTCTCTCATTTAGGAGTCTGGAGGTGGATAGGTTCCTTCCGCTTTGTTCTGTCTCTGTTACCAACATGATTTCTTCATCTGTATAATGCATAGAATCTTTCTGAAGAAATAGAAGGCACTTGATTGTCTTTTTAATCAAGTGAGAACTGCATATCACTTCCTTTATATTCTATTATGGATAGATTAGTTCCATGTCCAAATGCCAAAAGAGAAACTCAGCAATGTCATCTGTAGCTAGGTGGCCACATTCCCAGAAAAATAATATTCATTAATATAGAGGGAAAAAAAAAAAGAATGGAGTAATAAGAATGGATTGTTATCAGGGACACTCAACCAATTATGATTTCTTGATGGGTGATTTATGCCATACAACTATATGTTTGTGAAAGCAAGGTAATTTCCACAGGTAGGAAGTTACACTTTTTATCTACTTCCTAATGAAATAGAAAATCAAATCATGTGTTTAATATTCAGACTTGCTAATAATTAGTGTATAACAAGTTTGTAAATGATAAGTCTTTTCAAATAGGTCCTAAACTTGGTCAACGGCAGTACTTGAATTGTCTTATATCCTCCACAATGTTCAACAACACTTGGGAGAATAATAAATGAATGTTCAGTTGAATGTTCTGGATGAAGTGGGGGTGGGTGTTCTGGTCCAAATCATACCACAAGTTATCTACCTACCTTTTCTTACCACTTCTCATTTCCAGTTTGATCACTCATGGCTTTGGGACTCCAGCAATATGTGCAGCTCTAAGCACTTTCCAGACAGTCCTCAGTGAAATGCTGAACTACTTGGAAAAACACACTTCTCACAAAAACGGTGGAGCAGCGGATTCTGGCCAAGGACATGCCAACTCCGAGAAAGCCCCCCTGCGGAAAACTTCAGAGGCTGCTGTGAAAGAGGGCAAAACAGAAAAGACAGACTAGCTACATCAAACAGAATCTATTTCCAGAGAGTCTTGCTGCTGATATTTTTTCTAATATATATATCATTGAGGGTGACTAATCTTCAGTGGACAAAATCTCTGCCCTCCCCCCAACCCTCCATATAAAACAAAAGTGGAAATGAAAAATGAAACAAAACAAAAAAAAAAGGACAAATCCAAAAAATGAAAAAAAAAAAAAAAGGAAAACAGCAGTGTAACCGTGTGATGAAATTGTCACTTTTTAATTTTATGTTATGATAAACTCCTTTTGTGCACGTAGTTTATTGTTCTGAATTATATACATCACAGTTTTGAAGCACTTCTGGACTTTGGAGAGGCAGCACATGCTTTTTCACATTTAACCAATGCACTTTCTTATCCAGCTTTGTAGTTAGGGATCAGAAAGCATGACCAAACTGGAATCCACCACCAGTGCTTACAGCTCCAGTCTTTCCTCAACTCCCTGTTAACAGAACAATGCCTCTTTCCACTAAATAGACCAATCTGGAAATTAATTCATTAATAAATGTTTGGGGAACTAAAAAGGGCAGTCATGAATTTTTGTCCTGTGAACTGACTGCAATTCTAAAAATTTGGTCACACCTAGCCTACCCAACTACCAATGCCTTGGTGGTATTTAAAAATTCCAGAAAACTCTGTTCCTTCTATGATGGCCTCCCAGATCCATTTATCCCCCGATAGCTAAGAAGACATTCAGAAGTTATACCACTGTAAGGATAAGAAATGAATTTTCTCTCCATTCTCCTCATGTTACCCACTTAACAGTTAAAGCAAAACAGACTGCCTTTAGGGGAAGGTAGATGGACACAGGAGAGGGCAGCTTCACCACTCTTGGGCTCTTCTTCATGGAAAGCAGTGGTGTTTTGTCTGAAAATGTATGGGAACAGGAACAGTGATCTTTCTGGGATGTCCTTCCCCTCAGAGATCATAGAAGAGACCAGGGAACTAGTGGAGGCCCTTTTAAAACACCAGTGGCCATTGATTTTAGGGTTAAGATGAGAACCACTTCTTTTGTGCTTCCTCTACCTGCCAATAGTTGTGTTCTAAACCTTTAGAGGCACAAAACATTAGGGTCTGTGTTCAATAAAGAAAACGAAACAGATTGATCAGAGAAGATTTTGCTGTTAGGATGATTCATTTTATTTATTTATTTATTTTTTTTCATAGCTTGTTCTTACAGCTCTGTTATACTTTTCTTAAGACACTGAAAACAAGAGGTTCCCAATTGCAACAGAGGCCAGGGACTAATCGAATGAAAGTTTGGTCCACATAATCCTGGATATGTTGAGAAACCTGATTTGGCACCACATGGTACTATACCTTATATTGTTAACAATTTTCAAAATTCTATGTAGGCAAGTGAATACATAGGTCATCCTCTATATTAAAAAATCATTTTAATAATGTGTGAATTCCCAAACTTAGTTTAGCATGAAAATATTATCCTCTCATTAACATATTTCAATTACTTTTAAAAATCTACCATATTTTAACTCCATGGGGAATATTTGTATTATATTTAATTGAGAGGAAAAGCTCATTTATTTCATATAGAAATCACATAAATTATTTTTACTGACTAATAATTCTTAAAATCTTTTGAGCTTTGAATCTGTACAGAAAAGAAGAACTATAAGCTAGGCATGATAGTGTATTTCTGTAATCCCAGCTAATAGAGAGGCTGAGGCAGCAGGATCACGAGTGTAAGGCCATCCTCAGCAACTTAGTGAGACCCTATCTCAAAAAACAATAAAATAAATGTATAAATAAAGAAAGAAATGGGGTAAAGAAAAAAGTAATTATGACCAATGAAACTTTAAATGTTCCAGATTAAATCCAATTATAGAGAAAACACTACTAAGGAATTCCATAAAAAAGGACTTTATAGTTTCACAGTGGGAGACCTTAAATAAAAAATTGTAAAAATAATTAATTGTGATTTCATATGTTGTTCCATTTTTTAATTTTACCATTATTCGTGGCTTCAAAATTTTTTTGAAATATAATAAAGCTGAGATTCTGCTGCAGTTCCAAATTTCATCACAAAATAACTGATTCCACCTTACATAAAATTTCCCATGTTGTAAAATATACACATAAAACAAAAATGGTAAGTATTTCAATTTAATAGGGAAGTCATATACAAATAATGTGGGTAACCGTTTTCTTAATGAAATTTCCACGTTAACTTTATTTATTCCATTTATGATTAACAATACATATGTATTTAATATGGCATTTTGATATGCATATCTCCTCGGTGTTTAATGTAGTTTATATACCATGTCCAATGTTCACCAATAATCAAAAATTAGATCTGGCTTATATTACGAGCTTATTTCTTCACCCTTAGTTGTGACTAGTTTGGGTTCTAAACACCTTAATGGGGTGTTGTTATTTATTAGCCTTGGAAACAAAAGCATAACTATAACTACAGTGCATATTACTTACCAGGATTTTTGGGTGTTCTAAGAGCCTTAAATGGACAGCACCCATCATTTAACTTAACCAGCCATTAGAACCTAAGTGAATTGATGGACTGGTCCTGTTTAGAATCATCATTTATTATCATATTCTAATAGACATTGTTAACATCAACTTTTGCCTTGTATATAATAGGTACTCAACACTTTTTAAATAAATGAATAAATAAACGTGTGTTTGTTCTTTGTCCAAAGTGGGCCAAAGGACCTTCTAGTTTTGCTGTTGTCTTTCAGTACTCAATCTAACTTGCTTCCTTCATGGTAACTTATGGCTACTTATATTTATTTGAATAAGTAAATATTTCCATGATAGCATATTAGTTGCAAGTAGATATAATTAATATAAAACAATAAAGAAAGCTAGTCAGGTATAAGAATTTCAGTAAGAATAAAGGTAAAATCGTTATCATAGTGTACAGTTCAAAAAGTAGCTAACAAAAGTCTGTCTGATTTCCAGTGTTATAATAAGTAATTAAAGAATGAAGAAGCTTTTTCAGATTAACCAATACTTGCACAGAAAAAAATTGTACAGACCTCTTATATTCACACAAAATAAATAATGACGGCATAAAATTTAAGTTTAATGAAGGAGTAAATCAAATTTATATACAGAGAAATGTTTGTCTTCAGACTGTTTCAATAATCAATTTAAGTCTCATTATCATGCTGTTTATTTCATTAGAGTTACTATTTGACTTAAGTTTGGTGGTTCTAGAAAAATGAATGAAATCTCTGAATTACTGTATATTATTTTCTCTGGAAAAAATCAGAGCACTGGAATGATTCCTAAGCTCTTCTCCTCCTGCCTTCTTTTCACCCACCTTAACAGTAAGGGTGATGCTTCCTGGCTCTGTGTTCCTTTTGCTTTTCTCTGCCTTGCGGGTATATTCTCTCCAATGATAGGACAGAACATGACCATGTAGCTCTATGAACAGCTGAGCTGAGCTGAGAGTGATAGAAACTTTACCTCTTGTCATCTCATTCTTTTAAAATAAATATGTCAATAAATTATCCTTAGGAGTGAGAAGTAAAACAATAAAATCCATTTTCTTTTATGCCTCTTGGGAAGCATTTTAGAACAATGGGATTTTTAAAATATGTATCAGGATCCTTTACACAGTGTGTCATCTTCTTTCAAAAATCAAGTCAACATGTGAGAAAGTGGTAAGGCCTAGTGGCTGAGCTATGGACTCTAAAGCCAAACTGCCAGTATTCAAATTATGGTTATTTCACTTTCTACAATGTGACCTTAAGCAAGTTGCTGAACCTCTCTGTGTTTCCACAATTTTTCCATCTGTAAGATGAGAATAATGGTACTTATCTATTTAGAGAATTACTGTCATAATTGGAATCAGTGTTTCTGAACTGCTTAGGGCACAAAAGGAGACTATTGGTGTTATGTTTTAGCCATTGTCTTTTTGTGTGGGGACACTACTAGAATTGAACCCAGAGACTCACACATGCTAGGCAAGCACTCTACCATGGAAGTATTTGCCAAGCCCTTTTAAAATTTTATTTTGAGATAAGGTTTCACTAAGTTTCCCAGGTTGCTCTCAAACATGTGATCCTCCTGACTCAGCGTCCCTATTAGTTGGGATTACAGGCACGCATCACCATACCTGGCTACTTATTTTCTTTAATATTGGAATTTCAACAAATAATTTTGTACCTGAAGATCAATTTCTCCTCAGTATATCAAACCCTTTTCTATGCCAGGCTGTGTCCTAGAGACTGAAGGTACAAAGGGCAGTGGAACATTTTCCTACTGTCAGGCTTCTGGGTTTCTCTTGGATTTTAGAACATGGTAAGTGCCAGCTCTTATGAAAACTTACACGGGTGTCCCAGCACAAACATGGCTCAGTTCTGGGAAACAGGAGTGGCAGGAGGGAGCTGAAAATCAAAGAAGCATGGAAAGGGAAGGGTGTAGATCTGCGGAAAAAAGGGAATTCAATTCTGAGAGAATTAAAAACATTTGTGGCAGGATGCTAGTTTGAAAACTAGCCGGTAGGCCTTGTATTCCTACCTTCCTCCCCCACTTTGGAGCAACTAACACTTTGTCCAAGTGGCCTCAGGAAAGGAATATGACCCCAAAGTATGCAGGCAACAAAAGAGTCAAACTTTTGTACAAATTATCAGTTTCAAAATCTTAAGGCCTAAGGGAGACTTGAGGTTTAAAAGCTTATCAATCAGGAAGTCAGATCCTATGTGGACATGGTGAAGATTTAGGCCTACTTCTACTAGGCACAGGGTCTCTGTTCTGGTGCCTAAGTCTTTGATCCACTTTGAATTGAGTTTTGTGCACGGTGAGAGATAGGGGTTTAATTTCATTTTGTTACATATGGATTTCCAATTTTCCCAGCACCATTTGTTAAACAGGGTATCTTTTCTCCAATTTTTGGTGCCTTTGTCTAGTATGAGATAATTATATTTATGTGGATTTGTCTCTGTGTCTTCTATTCTGTACCATTGGTCCATGTGTCTGTTTTGATGCCAATATCATGCTGTTTTGTTACTATAGCTGTATAGTATAGTTTAAGTTCTGGTATTGTGATGCCTCCTGCTTTACTCTTTTGGCTAAAGATTGCTTTGGCAATTGCTTTGGGTCTCTTATTTTTCTAAATGAATTTCGTGATTGCTTTTTCTAGTTCTATGAAGTAAGTCATTGGGATTTTAATAGGAATTATATTAAATCTGTATAATGCTTTTGGTGGTACCGCCATATTGACAATGTTAATTCTGCCTATACAGGAGCATGGGAGTTCTTTCCATCTTCCAAGTTCTTCTTCAATTTCTTTCTTTAGTGTTCTGTAGTTTTTATTGTAGAGAGATTTCACCTCTTTTGTTACATCTCAAGTACAAGAAGAAAAATCAATAATTGATAAATAAGATGGATTAAAACTAAAAAGCTTCTCAGCAAAAGAAACAATTAATGAGGTGAACAGAGCCTACAGAATGGGATAAAATATTTACCACATGCATCTATGCACCTCAGATAGAGCATTAATCTCCAGGATATATAAAGAACACAAAAAGAAACACCAAAAACATCAATAAATGGGCTAAGGAACTGAACAGACACTTTACAGAAGGAGAAATATAATTAATCAACAAATATATAAAAAAATGTTCAATATCTCTAACAATTAGAGAAATGCAAATCAAAATTAATCTAAGATTTCATCTCACTCTAGTCAGAATGGCAATTATCAGGAATACAAGCAAAAATAAATGTTAGCAAGGATGTGGGGGAAAAGTTACACTCATATATTGCGGCGGAACTGAAATTGGTGCAGCCATTATGGAAAGCAATGTGGGGATTCCTCAGAAAATTTGGAATGGAACCACCATTTGATCCAGCTATCCCACACCTAGGTTTATACCCAAAGTACTTAAAATCAGCATATTATGGTGATGCAGCTACATGAATGTTTATAGCATTTCAACTCACAATAGATAAACTATGAGACCAATCTAGGTGTCCTTCAACAGATGAATAGATACAGAAAATGTGGTCTATATACACAGTGGAATATTACTCAGCCTTAAAGAAGAATGAAATTATGGCATTTGCTGGTAAATGGATGGAGCTGGAGAATATCATGCTAAGTGAAATAAGCCAATCGCCCCCCAAAAAGTGCTGAATGTTTTCTCTGATATGCAGATGCTAATTCACAATAAGTGGGCGGGGCGGGGTATATTGGGGGATGGGGCAGTTAGGGAAGAATAGTTACATTAGATTAGGCAGAGCAGAGTGAAGGAAAGGGAGGGGGTATGTGGGGTAGGAAGGATAGTAGAATGAATTGGACATTATTACCCTATGTGCATATTTTACTACACAATCTGGAGTAATTCTACATCATGTACAATCAGAATAATAAGAAGTTATGCTCCATTTATGTATGATGTTCCAAAGTGCACTCTTCTGTCATGTATAACTAATTAGCACATATTAAAAAATTAATTAAAAATAGTTTATCAGTCAGGAATTTCTTTTTACACACACACACACACACACCAAAAAAAAAAAAAAAAAATAGCCCATGGGTTAGGGAAAGAAAAAGGGGGAAAGGAGCATTTCAAACAGTTTGGCTATTTCTGCATCTCAGAGATTGGATTACGTCTGGAGGTGAGATTGGGTTATGAATCTCCTGACACAGAACAATATCCTCATCCTGGAGAAAACCATTAGTGAGGAAGAAAAGCCAGCAATTAAGCGGAAGCAAAAGAAATGCCTGTGTGGCTTGTGTCTTGATAGGTGTTCTTTTAGCCTCACAGAATTTCTACCAAAATCTCTCTACATGGCACAGACAGCCCAGGATATTGTGGATGAAAGCAGGAATGAAAAAGCTGCAGGGGCTGGGGATGTGGCTCAAGTGGTAGCGCACTCTCCTGGCATGCGTGCGGCCCGGGTTCCATCCTCAGCACCACGTACAAAGATGTTGTGTCCGCCGATAACTAAAAAATAAATATTAAAATTCTCATTCTCTCTCTCTCTCTCTCTCTCTCAAAAAGGAAAGAAAGAAAGAAAGAAAGAAAGAAAGAAAGAAAGAAAGAAAGAAAGAAAGAAAGAAAGAAAGAAAGAAAAGAAAAAGCTGCCATTGCTGTATCAAGCTCACAGGGAGCATCCCCGATAGCTGGCTAGCATACAGAGTCCTGCCAGGTTTGATGCATGAACACTTAGGAGAAACCTGGGGACACATGCAATCAAAGACCAGATAGGAATTCAGAGACCCCTCTAGGATTTCAAAGAGAAGAAAAAACAAGTGAGTGTTAGAAGCCTGAAAGAGCACAAGTGAAACACTATCATCTTAATATTAGTCAATGAAAAAGCAGCCACCATCACTAGAACTGGGCAAACGCAAGGTAAGAGTCAAAGTTACCTCAATCTGGAAACTTGAGATCTCTCCTGCCCATGGTCCTTGCATGGACCTGTGAGAAAGCCACCTTGAGATTGGTGCTGTAGCACTTTTGAAGGAGCACAGTGCCCTAATGCTGGGAGCACAAAAGAAGCTCGAGGCTGGAGCCTTAACCTTTCTCTTCTGCTGAAGGGCTACTAGCAGGAACAGGAAATATAAGAGCATCATTTCCCTCTCTTGTTCCTTCTAATTCCAATCATGGTCTCCCATTAACAAAACCTAA